CCGGATCCGGCCATCCGACGGCGGATCTGGCTCGGGGTTTAATTCGCGGCCGCACTGCGCGTTAATGACATTAGTCCGCGCGACCCGCGCGCGTATAGCTACCGGGGGATCCCCGCGAGGGCTCGGAAAGCTAGCGCCGTTACATCGTCCACCTGAGAGCAACTCGTCTTATTGAGTACTGAGTGTATCATATCCTGCGGCCACAGGGCCTCTCACCAGTGGAATGGGGGAGAGGTTGATTTTCCAAGCGTGGGTGTCGGTTGTGAAGCAAGAGAAATCTGCACGAGCTTTGAAGCGACGCACCGAAGAGGACGGAAGCTAAGGACAGCTGAAATGCAGTTGAAGGACATCGACAGTTCCGTGCGTGGTGAAGTATCACGGATTCCTCCGATTATCACGTCCGTCTCTTCTGAGCAATCTTGACGCTTTGCGTCTGATAAGACCATGAGCACAAAGTTTGACCGCATTTTCAATACTCGAGAGTCAAGGCAGTGCGCAACCAGATACTTTTGTTTCTCAACAATTGGCGTTAAGAAGTGCACTCACTTTTTCCGAATCTTTTAGCGCCCTCTCCAGCGCACAGCATATGTCCTTCACTAGCGCAGGGACCGCCTCATGAGCAGAAGCGAACGGATCTTGGACATACCAGCACGTCAGATAAGGAACGGGACGAAAATAGCACGTCTTGCAAGGCACCAATGATCGACCGATCAGTCGCGGGGCCAGTGCATTAACGACAAAGCAACGAATCTGTCGACAGGAGGATCAATTGATCGAAGTACTTCTGCAAAAGAAGCACATGCGGCCTGGGCCAACCCGCGAAAGCAAGAAAACAGTCCCGAACATTTGAAGCGCCGCGCAGCGCAGACAGAAAACAAACGAGTCAATCATTTGAAAAGAACCCTGGTGCACAATCTGTCCCTTGAATGATCTGCACGACTCTCAAAGGTGCAGCAAAGAGCGCAATCCTCCCATCTTTTCGCCCTAGCGAAACAACGCCTTTAGTCGAATTCAAGCCGACCCACACATCTCACCATCGACGTTGAATCTTTCGCCTCTCACCCGACCTCGGAATCGCCAAGTGATACCACCCGGTCCCCGCCCACAGCCGCGGCCGCCCCTCCCCTCAGCGCGTTGTCCCTGACGTCACCTCCCGCCGCCTTCGAACCGCCTGGGCCCCGGGCCCTTTTGAGGGATCCCTCGAGTGGACCTCCCCCCGGGGAAGGCTCGGCGATACCCCCCGAGCTTGGGCCTCGGATCTGAAGAGGCGCTGCCGCAGAAGCTCCCGGCCACTGCCGGCCGCGCTTCATCCCGGCTCGGGGGGTCAGTTCCAGCTCCTCGAATGTTCCCCTAGAACCCACCGCCGGAACAAGCGGCGATTCGGTCGCTCTGCCCACTCCTCCAGCCCCTTGGATCCACTCCCTCAGAACGCTAATGGGGACGCGTGCGCAAGGCTCTGCACCCCCCCAGAGGGGCATCCCTAGGCGCCCCGGCGGCCCCCCCGGAAAGGTTACCGCCCCCCCCTCGCAGAACCCGCAGTTCGCACAGACGTGCGGCCGCTCGGATGCCCACTGACTCTCGGACAATCCCAGGTGTTCCGACGTCCCGTGGGTGTCGGCCGCTCGCACGTTGACGGACCGGGACGGTCCCCGCTGTTCGGACGGCCCCTGGTCTTCGGACGGCCCCCGGGCTGCGAACGTCCGTTGACTTTCGGACGGGAGTGCGTCCGCGTACGCGCCCCAGAGGAACCCGCCCGGGAGCAGCTGCTTGGCGTAGGCGGCCCATAGAGAGCCCTCCTCCGGCTGCCACGTGGCGTCTTCGCTGGCGACCACGATTTGCCCGCCGCCCTCTGCTGCTGGCTGCGAAGCGTTCGCTTGGTCACCTTGAGGCTCGTCTTCGTCGTGATCGGGCTCTGCCTCGGCGAGTTGCTTGCCGGCATCCTGCTCCGAGGCTCCTGCTCCGGCAACCACCGGTCGCCCTTCGCTGCTTTCTGCCCGTTGCAGACTCGCATCCCCTCCCCACACTGTCCCTGGCAAAAGCACCCCCTCCACGAGTCCTTCGTCCCCCGCGATCCCCTCTGCCGACCCCCCCTCGTTGGGGTCCGCTTCAGCCGCCCTTAGTTCCGTTTCCGTCCCCAGCTCTGGCTTTGCCGATCCATTCTCACCCGACTCCGTCTCCGTTCGCGCCTCAAAGAAAATTCCTTCGTCTTCGGGCTCTATTCCGGGCTCACGCTCCTCGCGACTCTACCCTGAGGCCGGCGCCCCGACTATCTCACGTACGCCCCGGCCCTCCTCCCGTACAGTCGACTCGCCCTCCCAAACCGCAGAGGACACTCCAGAAACGATCACGGAGCCCGGCCCGATCATGGCGGCCGGCGGAATTGGAGCGCCGTCCTCTGCGGCACTTCCCGTTACCCCTTCCGCAGTTTCAACCAGAGGACCGGGCCCGACTTCTTCAGTACCGAGCGGCTCCTCTGACCCGGGCGGCAGTTCCGGGGCCTTCTCAGCAGCGGCTGGTCCGTCCCCGCCTTCGCTACACCCATTAGTCGGCTCGCTTTCGGCGGGGCTTTTGTTAAGCTCTTCGCTGATGTTGGTTTCGTTCGCGCCTTCACCAGTGCCTAGTTCACTAGGCTGACCGTCTGCTCTCGCCTTCCCCGCCCCGTCACCCAGCGCAGCTCGGGGCTCTTCCCCGAGCCCTTCTGTTGCGGCATCCGCCGCAACCGGGGGCGTTTCTCTGACTGACTCCGAGCTGGGAGCTAGTCGCGCTTTGTGAGCCGGCGGTTGGCTGGTGGAGTCCCGCCGGAAGCCCTCGCTGGAGTCGTCTAGGCGGGGAAGCCAGGGGGCAGGCTGAGGCTGGACCTGGGAAGGGAAATTGCAGTTAAGTACAAGGCAGTAGCAAAGTAAGAATCGAACAGGAGAGCGTCTCGACTATGCTGGGCGGATTTAGTGAATCTATATCAATAGGATTGAAAAGCTCGGTGGCCACCGGGCAAGAGGACTTTTCGGGTTTCCTTTGGCTTAAGTTGCACACTATATCTGCCATACATAAAGGGAAAGCCCGCAAGAGCGACAAGGATCAGACGAAGTTCTCTTGCGCTAACGCAGGCCGGAAGGAGGAGGGAAGCCCTTGAGGGGTCTGAGAGAATCGAAGAGGACAATTGTGGGAGCACGCCAGACAATGATTGGTCGAATTTCAATATTGTACAAGGTGGAATTGTGAGTTTTGTGTACGACTTGCGGCAGAGGCAGGAAATGACGACTTGCACCCCAGGAAAGAGACAAGACCAAGGACAAAAATGCGAAAACGAAACATTACATTGAGACACTCGCTGAGTGATATTCTCCAGCCATAGCAGACTGAGAATCGAATCAGGTACACGACATCTTTTGGAAGCGAAAATCACTGCCCTCCGGATTCAAAGGGTTGAGCCGAAACCTCAGACGAACGACCTGACTTGCAGTAACAAGGGGATGCGGCCGCCACTTAGCAAGTCCAACTTTCGCGAATCCATGTGGGGCCTATCTTCAACTGCACTCACCAGGCCTGCAAAGGGGCTCGCCTGGTAGGTCACAATTGCCAATCCAGCCTCCCGCCCCGCGGCCCCCTCGTCTGCAGCGCCGACCCCCACTCTAGTTTCACCATTTACCGCTTCGCCTCTAGAACCTCCATCCCTTTCAGAGCTCTCTCTTTCCAGACCTTCACCGCCTGACCCCCCCGCCTGATCCATTTCTGACACCATTTTCAGGACTGCGGACACGATCTCCTGTCCGTGCCCCGCAGGGGGTTGCTCGCGCTCGGCCCCCAACCCCCCCTCTGCGGCGTCTCCTGTCGCTGCACCCTCCCTCTCCGAACTGGCGCCTGTTGCGACCCCCCCGGAGCTGCGGGCCCTTGTCTTCCGCACGCCGGCAGACACGTCCCCGCGGCGCCGCTTGCGAGGCGCTCCGCTTGAATCCGCAGGACTTGTGATG